AAAGCAGTTTGCATCTTTCATTGTAGAAATATCCTGAGTCCATTAATTACAGGTAGCCATAAAGTTTATTTGTTATGTGAGACATTCATTAGTATGTGCAGTGCACACTCCAGTTTTCAAAGGACTCACCCTCAAGAAAAGTGGTAGGAGGGCAAATTGACAAAGTCATCTCAGCTCAAAACACTGCAGACACACACACACACAGTACACATATATAAACCTACTATAAAACAAAATGCATACCTAGAGGCAAATGCACAGGAATCTGCACGTACAAACACAAAGTGTGTAGGGGTGAGCAGGTTTGGAAGAAAGGGTCATGGGTCAACGGGTGGGGAGAGATTGGGTCTCGGGCTTGAGCCGAGCTGAGAGTTTGATTGTGACTGTCAAGACTGCAGTCATGGCAAATATTCAAGTCACACTGCAGTGCCCCTGTCAGCTGGCAGTCTTTTATACTGGGCCCAAGTTGTCCTTACATTACTGTATGGAAACTAATAAAAGTTTTCATTTTACACATAAAACCTGAAGGTTAGACCTCGTATTTGGAGGTCTAACCTTCAAAATAAAGCATAAATGTTTAGAACTGTTATAAATGAGGCTGTACCCAATCAATCAAATCTACTACTACTGTCTGCAGAATTTTTTCTCAGAATTTTGGGCATTTTACAACCTGAAGTGTTTACGTCATAGTTGTCAGAGTTAATTTCCAATAATAGTCACATTCTGTTTGCTATTACAGCAAATCCCAGCTAATTACAAATAATTTTATTGTATTTAAAACAATCTCATTATCAATAATCTCTCAGCCTAGTGACAAATTAGTTGGCAACATCCTGTTTTGTAAATTACCTCACCACTTGAGAAATTACAGTGAGAGATATTTTTGTATTTTTCTTTAATATCACTACATGAAATTTGATGTCTCGCCCTTTTCATGAGACTTAAAACATAAATAAATCAATGTAAAACTGTTGGGACCTTCATCATACAGGTTGTGCAGTCTGATTTTCCACTTTTCTGGACACGTTAGTGCATCAAAAATCAAGGACAGTAACAATCAGTCTGTATGATTTAGTGCAGGGGTTTTCAACCTATTGTGACCAGGAACCATCATTCTGACTAAGACGTAACCCAGAGGCCACTGCTGTGGCGTGGCGAAAACAGATGGGCAATATTTCAATCCTGAAAGTCACCTTGGCTTTTTAAAACATTTTATACATTTGTATGAATTTGATTATTTACAAACAATAAGTGATACATGGAAATAAATTCTTACAGTGAAACTACATTAACAAAGGGATGATCAGGGACCATCTGCAAAGCATTCGCAGACCACCAGAAGGCTGCGGACCACTGGTTGTAAACCCCTGATTTAGTTTTTACAACAAAGTAATGCTGATTCTTTTTGTCATTTGTTAGAAGAAGGCTACGTAATGAATACTGTGTGTGGTGATGTTTTAGAGACATACTGTGGGATGGATCGGTAACTGAACCTACTGTCATAGTGTGCTAGACAACTTCACTGCAGTGACTACTGGAACTGGATCAACTCTCATCATCACCTGCCATCATAATCTGCTTGCATTCCCAAAATGAGGCCATGTCTTTTTATGACAGCCTTCTGCATAATAGAGTTTTTATGTAACACACACCCAGTGTGTGATCTGTTTTAGAGGGACAAGATGTTGTGAGGGTGTAGATGGTGTATGTGTGGGGAGGAACACCCTTGGACATTTACTGGCCTCGACAGCATTGGACCAGAGCCCAGCCGTGAGCTATGTTAACCGATGTGTCAGGTGCTGGCATTTTTTTGACCATCTCACCGCAGTTCACATCAGCAGGTAGGTGAGGCCGAGACAAGCCAAGCCAGACTGGGCTGTTTCCACCCTGCTGCTTTCAGCACATCAGCCACTGAACCGACCCTTTGTCGTAGCGTTTACACCCCCACCGGCATGTTTCTGGGGCCTGCCAGAGGACTTCAGGGAGGAGCTAAGCCTGCCGACCAGCTGTGCAGGGTTCAGACTCAACTGCTGAGCAAAAGACTGGAATGAACCGATGTTAGATTTAAAGTCCCTGTACAATGCTCACTTTGATATGTTATATAAAAATTAACATTTATAGCTCAATATAAAGGCTGTAAAAAACAGCACTGTGAATAAAAATCGATTGCCTCTGTGATGCTCTCACTGGACTTTTTCCTATATTGCTATGTCAGTTTTGCTACATCAGAAGCAGAGGACTGACTTTATTGTTCTACAAATACAAACACAAATTCCCATCCTGTACATCCAGGTGTCAGCTACTGCTGTAGCAAGTATCTGCAGTACTGGAACAAGGAGTACAACCACATCATTCAGTATATCTGTGCAGATTCTTAGTCATCCAGTCATCCATTCGGTTGCGGTTCACATCATTCAGTGTATTGTTGGTAAGGACAATTGCACTCTATTATATTGATAAAGTAACACTGCCACACAATCAAGTAGCTTTTTTTCCCCCCATTCATGACTGGCTGAAGAAATGTAATGTCTCACTGCTTTACACAGACTGCAGCTGGCAGAATCCTGTTTCAGAAAAATGTGTTGCAAATATATTTCAAAACGTCAGAAAGAGAAGGAGGAGAGCACTCAGGCCAAAGTATTTTATGATCATCCTCTTTAATTATGTTCAAATACAAAGATGAGACACATTACCTGTACACTGCATCTCCCACACCACAGCTTTAACTACAATCTGAGTAAGCTTTTATTTGAGGTTGTTTACATCCAGCTAAGATGAACAGTTTATGAGTTACGGTCATTTTTATACTCAATTTCCCTAAATGTTATGGATAAAAAGCAACTTGCTCAGGGGTGCTTAGGCTCTTTCCACCTTCAGCCTCATTCATCCTTCAATCTGAAAGCCAGTGCTTTACAGCTCATTATTTTACATCCAAACAACAACAACAACAAAAAAAAAAACATTACTGCTGATAGCTTCTGCTTCCACTATATGTACCATCTATTGTACCTTTGATATCAGGCATGTGACTGTTTAAAGACATGTTCAGACTGAGGCAAATTTAGAGGAGGCGCCGCTGCATATAAATTTAATACAAAACAGAGAGTGGACACAAGCAGGTGTGTCTTCTCTCAGATCAGCACAAACTGAAGCAAAGGTACATCTGCAACAAAATCTGCATTCATCCCAAGGTTTTATGACAACAGACACCGCAAAAAAAAGGAAGTAGGTCTGGAGGAACGTGACAGAACTGGAGTTCCTAAATTCTAAGATCAGTTGGAGGCTGGGCTGTCGCACTGGTCTAATCATAGCACAGGCACGCCATGGTCCGTGCACATGCTGCTACTGTAGCTAGTTACAACTCCTTGGTACATTGCCTTTTTGGGGTGGATAAACACCGACTGCAAAAATATTCCAGTGGTCCCATTTGTGTGCACAACACAAAAGCAACATTTCCTTCTTGTTTAAATTGTCAGATCACTCTGTCAACAAACCACCAGCTTTCAAAACCCGAAGCATCCTCCTGATGGTCCATTGTCAAAGTGCGCATGCATGCACCTACACACGGACACACTCCAGAGACGCACGCAAAGGCATGCTTTAAATCACTGAGACCCTCGGGGGAACCCTCAGTCCCACAAACCCAAACACAAATACACTTCCCTCATTTAGTTTTCACGGTCATGAATACAGAATGTGAGCAGCAGACACACTCGTTTACAGTCCCGTCGTTCGTGTATGTGATTCAATGTCCTTAGAGCCTGTCATTAGATACACAGCTTCATCTGAACACAGTCCTGGGGATGAATAATGATGCAGCAGTGCGAGCACTTGGTCTGCCCACAACAGCAGCAGCTCGGCTTACTTTCCCAGAGCCTGTCAGGGTAGTAGTCAGTATTTATCTTGTCGCTGGAATACACCACACTGCCCAAATGAGCATTTGCTTCAGTACATGCAAGAATCTTTCCCGACTCAATTTACTCCCAAAATGCTAACCCTTAATGTTCCCCTTAACCCAACACATTTTTTAATCTTAACCCCTCTGTGTCCACATATAATTTTTACACAAGACTCTTCTCATTACCTGGTCCACAAATACTGATAGTGTCAAACCTCCCTGGACTCTCATAGATAAAACAACAAAAAAACTCGCAACAATACAGTAGATACTCCCGCACTATCCCTCACAAGGCTCCCCATGGGACCTGATCATAGTCCAGAGAACACATTATAGACTCCAGAGGCCTCACAAGGGCAAAGAGCTGATCCAGTGCCCAGGATGAAATTAGCATTGTTCTTCCTGAATTGGAGGTTCGACAGTCAGCCTCCTTTCCAGCATCCAGGCACAAGCTTTCCTGGGGAGGCTGTGCAGTGCGAGACCCGATAAATGGCGCATAAATGGAATTGGACCGTCATGACTAGGCCTTTACTATCTCCTAACCTTAACAAACTCTATCCTTATTCTGTCCAAACTAATCTCACTTTACTTTCAAGGTTAAAAACTCAAGGTGGTTCTCAAAGGGTATTAAACAATTACACACCACAAAATTACACGTGCACTATGTCTATCCTGGACTCAGCGGGAGCCAGGTTTTGAAGATTTCTTATTTGTATTTCAAGGTTGCGCCCTGCTCACATTGCTGGAGGGCAGTCAGAGACTTGACAGCACAGTTGTGTTCATGGTGGAAACAGTGGAGCCACTCTGGTGCAAAATGAACAGCAACATGAGCAGCAGGTAATGGATATCTAATAGTAAATAGAGCTAATTCTTAACATATCTGTAATGTATGAAGGGTGTCTGCTACAGAGGACTTATCCAGAAATGTTGCGGTTTGAAAATCACTATATTGCATGGTAGACATAAAGGGATTTCCAGTTACTGCAGTTTCATTTTTGGTATTTATTAGTCTTTACAAAATCTTGCCATGCTATACTGTAATTAAAATAGAATCTCCATCATTACTTCCCACATTTTGAAGATGAATGTCTGCAACACTAACCACGTATGAAGTCTCAGTAGAATAGCTGTTGTTGCCACAACTTCTTTTTTGTCCTTCCACACAGTGAACATTTTCATATTATCCTCCAGGCAACAACAACAAAGGCAGCGGTGAAATCTACAGCAGAAAGAAAAACTTTAGGATTTACTCTGGTAAAACAGGAAGTAAACAAATGCTGTAAGGCCTTATATTTCATTATCTTGTGTATATAGGTTCAACAAAGCACATGGTTGCAGGCTAGTTCATTAATTTTACAATGATACTTGCAAAAGGAAATAGGGCTTTATTATACTTTGAGTTAAGCTAACTTTTGAAATACAGCATGCAATAAACACCATTAATCTTGTGCTCCAAGCAGGTTAAAAGAAACCCCACCATCTGAGGCTGGGCTGGCCATAGGACCCATAATTTCTGAGCCTGGTGAAACAAAAAACATAGATGAAGTGAAAGTAAAACGTTTCATTGTTTGCTTTACGGTGCATCATCTGTTTCCTTCTGCTTCAGGCGTCCTCTCACACCATCTTGTAACTTTTAAACGTACTATAGCTGTTGAAACTAACAAAACTTCTCAGGTATGTAAAGAGGTGATTAAATACACGTGTCTTCTTCATAAGTCACTAACATAAGATGAAGTTCATCTTCATTCATTGATCCCCCGATCTGTTTAAATCAAAATCTTGAAAATGCTTCATTACTGCAGAAAAGAGGTGAGGTAAAAAATGTTTCTGCGATGTTAAAATGTTTAAAGGTCGTTCATATTCCAATATCAGTTCAAAGTTCTACATGCTCACCATCCACCCATCCATTATCTATACCACCTGTTCCTGAATAGGGTTGCCAGGGGGCTGGAGCCAATCCCAGCTGACAATGGGCGAGAGGCAGGGTCCACTCTGGACGGGTCGCCAGTCTGTCACAGGGCTGACACTTATGCTGCGTTTCTACTGTCTGAACCTAACGAGCGACACCCTGTGCTTCCCTTAACAATCACCGAGCATAATCTCATGAGTTGGACTGTCCTACTTTGCTTTCCCACTGTCCCCAGTCTCTGTTTAGAGACTTGGGGTTTGTCCTATCATGGACAAACCCCAATAAAAACAACAAACAACCACTCACGTTCAACCTGCCCATCTTTGGACAGTGGGAAGAAGCCAGACTACCTGGAGGAAACCCACACATGTATAGGGAGAACGCAAACTCCACACAGAAAAGCCTGGTAGTGGTTTAAGCCCAGAAACACCTTGCTATGACACAACAGTGCTAACCAGTGCACAACACACAACCATACTAAATTCTGGCTCCTGAATGAAAGGTCATGAGGAGACCATTTGCTCTGCAAAAACACTGCAAAGAAAATCAAGCATCTGCTGACTTTCTGAGCTGGCGGAGGTTTAGTTGAAATCTTTGTTTCTTCAGATGAAACACTCTTAATGAACTGCTTTGCAGAGATGGAGATATAAGCCGTTTAGCCCTTAAGTGAAAAATAAAAGAAGAATGAATGCTGTTAGGACATTTAAAATGCCTTTTATTCACAAACTAATTACATAAAATAACAAGTATATTAAGTACTTGGTCACAGTTTGTTATATTATTCAGTGTTTTCAATGATAATTTGTCAAGGTTGTTTTCAGAATTTAATTGTATTGTTACAACACCCTCAAATGACTTTGAAAGTGAAATAAACGACACCTCCTCTGTGTTTATCACAAGTCTTAATAAGACATGCAGCCTGCCCACTGCAGATAGCAGGACTTTTTAATTACTTCTTCTGTGTTTAATTACCAAAACTTAGTGGAATTTTGTGCTGTAACAAAGAAAACAAACTTGTAACTGCCATCAGTTACAAGTGGGTGTGCTTTTAGAAGCACAGGAAAATGACAAAATGCATTAATTTTCAATACGTTCACAAACAAATCCTCAGTCATACATGAGCATACTGGGCGGCCTTGCTGTATCCGTCACCCAGCAGGCAGTCAAAGTCATGGCTGACTTCTCTTTCTGACACAGGTCAACCAGAGGTCACCGGAGCAGCAGGATCACCATAGTAACTCATTCTGCATGATATGAAACAAACATGGCCACCCTGGCGGGCCATCATCTCTCTAGTGAGGCCCATCCATCATCACAGACGCATGCTGACATTCACTTTGCTATGGTTCCTCTTGGCTGGACTGTGATTAGTTGGTGTTAGGGAACTGAGTTGGCTAAGCACAGGGGTGCTTCTACACTGGTAGAGTAAAGGAACGCCCAAACTGTACAACCTGACAGAAACACATTGATTCAGAAATCTATTGAGATGGGATTCATCAACCTTGGGGCTTGGCCATTTGGCTCACCAGAGGATTTTCTTTTCCCTTCAGGTGGCAAGCAGCATGAAGAAAATCAAACTGGACAAAACACGGACAGCGGCATCTGTTCAAGTATTGTAGTCTGATCCACAGGGGGTGTTGTCCAGAGGGATTGAGAAGCCAGCCGGACTGCGGCAGTGGCTGAAAAAACTTGAGACTCATTTACTGTAGCAGGTTGTGGGGATAATAGCATCACGCCTTTGGACAGTATTTCCCAGAAAACATTCATCATGTTGCTCTTGCTTGTTTACATGACAAGAGCCAGAGATAGCTGTGTAAAAAATCCCAATGGTAAAAAGCCAACAACACTTCAGCAGATGCAAACTGATGCTGTTACACCATACTGCTCATAGCTTCAGGGCTGTGAGGCAGTAATAGCATGACACAGGCATATACAAATCTGTGGATGATAAACGGACCATGCCGAGTGGATGGATCAGTTTGTATCATTGACTGTAAAAATGATGGACACCCTGACAGCTCCCAGAAGCGAAGCCACCACAATGTGTTCGCCCCCTGGTGCTGGTTGCAGTACAAATTGTCATTTTTGTGGTAAGTAGGTAGGTAGGTAGGTAGGTACTTTATTGATGCCTCAATGGGGAAATTTCAGTGTTTCAGCAGCAATGGAGAACAAACAACATAACACCATGAGAAACAAACACCACACACATATCTTGATAAACAAATTTCAGTACCTCAAGCAGCAATAGAGAACAGACAGCATAACACCATGAGAACAAGCACCGCACACACATCCTGATAAATAAATTCCAAGTACTCAAAAATAGACAAAATCAAGTATTTGAATAATCAAGAACAGAATTTACATATGTGTATATTAACCATGCATTTTGCCACAGGATTTGAGTATTGCACCTCAGTTGACTATTACATAGTCCCTCATAATTTCACCTAG